ATAAAACTAATAAAAATTGTATACCTACAATGACATCAGTTATATGCAAATGTATTCTGTTGGGCAATGAATCATATAATCTCCACTTGCGATCCTATAATCTCCACTTGCGATTCTTAATTGATTCAACAAGCAGCGTCCAATGCTGATTATTGATTATTGGTATCAAAATTAACTCCATATTCTTAGTGGTCTCATTCGTAATGTGCTCCACGAAGCCTTTTACGTTCCCGACCTTGTACAGCTGCAGAGAACGATATATATGACATAAAAACAATTACTGAAAAAAGAGATATTTGGTTATATGATTACGACATATGAATTTCAAAATTTACCCAGTGACATAGAGATACATATATGTAAGACCGATATAGTTCCGGATTATTGCTCCTCTTATGCTCCATTAACATAGCGAAATAGTCGACATGTTCGTTTCCTAACCACCCGTTGCTGAGTAATTCATCATGATAACGTCGGGTTAACGAAACATGTCCCATATCATTTATTAAGTCACCCCTGCATTTCAAATATTTAATAAGTAGAAGACTAAAAGATAATCAATTAATAAAATTTTAAACTTACATGTCAGTGAATTTATTACAACAAATATCGATTGCTTCCCTCATATAATCTGGAATTTGATCTCTGGCAGGAAAATCGACCGTCAGTGGGGCTGGACATACCTACAAGCAATACACAAACATTGTAAGATGAAAATATTTAAGCATTCCATTTGGACAATTAAATTTTGTGTTATATACCTAATCAGGGTAGTCTTCGTCAACATAATGCATGTCATATTGTTCTTGATCGTCGTGTTTATCCACTGATGGTGTTTGCAGAGCTTCATCAGCAACCTTACTATACACAGTTATGACTTACTGATTAAATTTATTTACTTCATCTGTACGCACAATATCAATATGTTAAATAAAAAATATTATTAGTTCAGTTAGTAAGGAAGAACTTCAACCTCTTCATGCTCTTCAACGACTTCCTGACTTGGTTTTAGCTTCTTCCGTTCAAATACTAAAAATGGGGAACTGAGAATCCTTTTTATTCTCTCCTTTCTTGCATTAATTCTATGAATTAGGCTCCCTAGCGGGGACTGTTGCACCCATTTTGTTGTTAATGTCTTAACGGGTTGTTTTAGAGGTTTATTTATTTCTTTAACTTCTGATTTTAAATCTTTCATTGTACTTTCTAGCTCTGTAAGACGATTAAGCACTGAGATTTGAAATTTCACGAACAGTTTATGATGCTCTTTGAGTAATTCATGGATTTCTTCAAATTCAGTACTAGAGGTAGTATGTTGATGCTTCTCGTCATGTGGAGGACTGGTACGATAATGAACTATAGCCTCAGCAGTACCAATGAATGCGGGCGACTGTGGTTGGGATATAACTTCCTTTTGTGGGAGATGTTGCTTAAGACTGGATGGTTATTGTAATGGAGAGCCAAGGAGATGATGCTCGCTATCTGAAATTTCAAGAAAATAATCAAAAACCTGCATCACATTACATAGAGTGAAAATCAATGAAAGTATCACGTGAACAAAACAAATTCTATGGTATAAAGAACTAAATTGCTGACCTCGGCAGATTTAAGCCTTTCAAAGGCTACCTGAATCTTCAGAGTATTCCACCTCACATTTGACCACCTCAACATTCTTGGTCTAGCTTGAGGCAATGCTAGGAGGACCAAGAAAGTGTGCTCATAAAACCAGATCTGCGTTAAACATTATGAATTATTTTAAAATTGATCACTTTGGGAAATTTCAAAATGTATTGGTGGATCACAAACCGATAGTAGAAATACAAAACCATTGATGTAACCCAATGACTGATTCTTTTTAATTTTAGTTACACAAACATTAAGTTGCGTCTGTAGAAATCCACATAATGTTGCTGGCCAGTTGTACGCTGCAAAAGTATCTACATTCTCGCAAATAGTAGACAATTCTTTCGAAACTCTAAAGTTGCTTGAAGGAAAAATAAAATTTGAAATTAAAAAGTTGATTATTAATTGCAGAAGGTTGTGAGATGACTCCCTTAGAGAAAGGTTTAGTAGGGCAGTTTTTATTTGTCTTGTATCCATTGTATCAGACGGTGCATTGGTCCAACATGCAGGAAATCCTCTATTGGACATGCCTAGCAGTAATGCAACTTCATCAGAAAGAAATTTGACATCTTTCCCTCCCAAAATGAATGTCATTCGATCAATGTCCCAATAATTTATTATGTGTATCGTCAGAATATTGTCCTAGGGGTACAGAGGGAGTTCAAAAAATTGCGCCAAACTCAAAGATTCCAATTTATGCCATGTGTCTTCATCAACTTTTGGTCGGACATTATCGAGAACCTCTCGTACTGCAGATGAACGTCATCTGCAACTAATTGTTTTTGGGTTCAAGAGCTTACAACAATACAGAAGAGAAGTTTAATAAAATTTATATATCTGGTTGACGATATTAGGGCTACCTTTAAAATTCATTTCACCGTAAATAAATTAAAACAACCACAATAATCAAAACCTAGAATAATTTATACTGTATTAAATTTGCTATAGAACCTTGCACAATAATCAAATATCTGGTTAGCGATATCATTGTTGTGCTTCTTAACCATGAACAAGATTTCAACATTCAAAGGAAAACAACTACAAAAATCTAATAAATACCTGGAAACGGGATGACTTCACTGTAACAGTTGCCTGCTCGCATTCTGGTTGGTTACCCTCACTCAAATCCGCACCACTGGTCTCTTCCAAGGTTTTCGTACTCTCCTTATCCTCCATTACATTCTTCCCTCACAGTAGCAAAAACCCTAACTTTCAAAAGGAACACGATGGAGGAACCCTAGCGGCGCGAATCCTTTCTTTCGAATACGATTTCTTACTGTGATTTTTTAATTTTTACCGAAGTAAATAGGTTATAAGGAGTTACTTGAGGGCTACATCGCATTTTTATCAACGTTACATGCGCATCCCCAATGTAAATGGACATTACAATTGGGTTGCACAGACATTACATTCGGATTACACGCGTGGTACAACCTCTAGGTTACACCGGTGTTACATGTAATGTACATCCAATGTACATTCTGATGAGCGACTGTGGAGTTACAGGGACGTTATCGCGGAACTTACACTGGGGTTACATTCAATGTACACGCGCAGTCGGATGTTACACCGAATGTACAACAAGAGTACACGCGGATTACAGGGGCGTTACCGCGGAACTTACACCGGGGTTACTTCCTTTGTACATCGCGGATATTACACTGGATTTACATGGGGCTTACAAGCGCGGTATAGGGGGGTGACAACGGAGATTACATTGGATTTACATAGGGCTTACGAGCGCGTTACAGGGGGTGGACAATGGAGATTACATCTGGATTACATGGAGGTTACAATAACGGGTCTGGTCGACGGGTCACACACAGTAAAATGTATATTTGTATTACGGTGGGGCCGACGAAGCTGATGTGTTTTCCTCTGATTGGCTATCGCACGCAGCGCTACGTGCGTCTTATGTACCCAAATTTTTTCCCAAAAGTGGACGGGCATGTGCTGAGGGGTGGACGTTATGTGTGAATGTGCCGGTAGATGCCGCTAACTGGGTTGGAGGTTTCGTCAAGTGAGAGAGGATGGCGTGACTTGAGGCCGATTAGGGGGAACAAGGAAGATCAACAGTGGACGGGCAGGTGCTGGGAGGTGGACGACAGCCGGGTAGAGTGCAGAGTGCCCGGAGGTAGTCAATATCTCGGGCGAGGTACAACCGACACATCGCTCTCTGTTGGATAGAACCCTCAGAAGGGAAACATCTTAGAGACACATCTAAAATGAAATAAAAAAAAACTTATTTTTTTTCAACAAACAACATCTATAAATAAGGCGGAATTAGTAGATAGACGGGGCAAGTGGAAGATTAGCCAAGAA